TCATACAGATGTGTTCAGCATGACGATAAGGATCGACTGCTAATGCAACATGACCTTCCAGTAAGGTCATGACCTTGACTTTGTCAAATTTTTAAAATGACCTTTCAATGTCAACTTCGAGTTATTTCGATGCATCTCGTCGAGATGAATACGATGCTGGCAAAATAAATGTGCCTTCCTTGAGTGAAAAGTTATGAAAGAACACATTTTTCATAAAGATAGCTATTTTAGAACTTTTGCCCTCTGGAGCCTTCATTTAGTTCAGATCTGAGGACACATTCCAGAAAGAGGGTTAACCCGGCGGCTGCTGGGCCTCTGCGGCACCGCCCAAGATTACTTTACTCCTACTCTACTAGTGATGTTAATTACGGAAAATCGGAATACCGATACCAAACACCAACCAAAACCATGGGGAAATACCGAAACCAAACCAACTTGGGAAACTGAGGGAAATACCAACTTTTTACCGATTTCTTAGCCTCTTATACGTTAGTGAGGGCTTATGATACCAACAAAATACCAAACACATTACTGAGTACGATTGAAATACCAAATACCAAGTTGGTATCATCGGTTTGGTATCGGTATACCAAAAAGTTGGTATCCGATTGACATCTCTACTACCTACTCGAAAAGAGCTATCGAATGCGTTTTCCTGCGGCGTTGCAGGCTTTATTGGCTCCCGAGTTCTGCTCCGGTTTGTCAAAATTTGTTAAGAAATGGTAAAATTTGATCTTCTGATGACCTCTGGTGACCTGACCTTTGAACTACGTGTATTAGTATTTTATTATATAACTGGCCTATTATATCATTGACCTATTATTGACCTATTAGTATTTTAGAAGCATTTTCTCCATTTTTTTACGGTTATTCGAATGCCGCGCCCGCATACCGCGTTTTGCGGTAACTTATGCGGTTTTCCTGCCTGGGAGATCATGAAACATCATTGTCAGTAACTCACCAATAAATCACCTGATTCAGAGGAACCAGTGTGTTAAAGAACACAACTCGCCTAATTCCGAGGATGCTTAAGGAATAATAAAGAATGAATAGCAACAATGGGCAAATCTTTTCAGTTTTATTTGCCGCTTGTGAAATTTTTGTTTACAATTCGCGTCCTTCTGTGCTGCTTTAATGATCGGTGAAACGGTGTTACCCGAGAAAGATTCCGCCGTTTTTTACCGCCATAAGTGTTATTAATTATGTAGTGCTTTGTAGTTAAAGTGTGTTTACTTTGTGTGCGTGAGAATGTTTGGAGATGCCTCTCTGTGCGGGCCAAAAGGACTCGGGATGCGAACGCCGTTGCCCAGCGCCATCGCCGTAAAGCGCTAGCGCAGGCGCGGCGAGAGGCCGAAGCGTTGCGGAACGCTGAGCGTCGCCGTGAGGTCGTAGAGAGACAGGGGTAGCCAGTAACAGTTGGTAGCATTAGGCCAAATGGGCGCTCAAAAACTACTACCCCGTAGGGTTTCCATGTTAAATCGACCTTTTTCAAGCGAGCCCCATACGTGAGTTAAAAGAAAAAGTGCCAATATTATTGTGGAGAAAGGTAGCCTCAAGCTTCCTCTACAACCTTTCTATCTAGCGTTTTTCGATGCGGAGGCCATAACAGGTCCAAAAAGCATTGGGCGCTGCCCGAGGTACCAAAAGCCCCTCCATGAGAGCAAAAGTTCCTGCGCATGCGCACTTTGCCTCAACCCTGTACTAGCGTAAATTAGTGATACTGCTCACGGACTCGATCGGCCAATCAGCATCCCCGATTGCATTCATAGATGTCGCTAGCATCACGTAAATCCTGCTTGCGAACACGTTTTAAAAATGAAACAGCTGCGCCATTTCTGCCTTCCATTGATTCCTTCCATCTTAGTATCAACTATACGCTTTTCGACTAACTTTAGACTAAGTTTTAAACTATGGTTGGTATGTTATTTCTGGTACATATAATTAAAAAATAACTGCTTTATGAATTTGGCTTTACTCGTCAGAATGGAATACTCTATTTATTCCATATTCAAAAAATATATCACCTTCCATGTAACTCATCCAGGTAAAATGGGCGCTTTCCGCGTCGTTGGTGTACCCGTTGTTCTATATACCCTGGTAGAGAGACCCGAGAGACCCACCGCCAGCAGGAGAGGAAGCGCCACGAGAACCGAGAGGAGGGGGAAGAGCAGACCGGTCAGTCACCTGCACACCTACTTGGAACCGGATTCAAGGGTGTGAGACGAAGCAAAGGCTCACCCCCCAAAAAAATTGCCATCAGAACTGAGAAGTAAGTAATGTTTAATGTGCCTAATATAGGTACAGTCTGTCTTAAAAGTACCGCGCAAAGTGACGGTGGATCCATCAAGCCTGACTGAGGTAGGGCCTGAGCAGGCAATTATAGCACTATAATTTGAAAGTCACCGAACCAATTGACCTAGGGAATGGACGAGGATGTGAACTGCTTCGGTGACTCAAATTTAATAGGCCCTTCCTCGGTCAGGCATGGTGGATCCACCGTCACTTTGCGCGGTACTTTTAAGACAGACTGTACATTGTGCATATGTTACAGGCCGTATGAAAATTCGTGTGAGACTTTAAAATTGAAGCTTTTTTCACGCGATGTAGGTGCTTGTTTGGGATTATTCATCCAATTTTCAAACAAATCCATTCACTTTCAGCTCAGTTGTGCATCTTGACGTGACCCCATCGTTTTCAGTAACTTTCTCGAGGCGCTCGTGGAATGCCAGCGCGGCTTCCTTGCAGTTGCGCATCTGATCGACGGCGATCCCTGGGAAGGCGGCTCTAGCCCGACCTTACAACTCCAGAATGTTCGCTGACCACGTCACGTATACCTTCGACTCCACAAACCCCTACATGAAAAAGTCACGAGGGGTGAGGTCGGTCGGGCGCGATGGGCTGGGGCAGGGCAGATTCGGCAAAGCAGATTGGGCAAGCGCGGTAACCAGGGTAGAGCCAGGGCAGGTTAAGTAAAGTCCGACCTCACCCCATGTGATTTTCTAATATAGGGGTTTATGAACTCGAAGGTATACGTGACGTGGTCGGCGAGCATTCTGGAGTTGTAACTTGTAAGGTCGGGTTAGATCGCCGCCTTTGCAGGGATCACCGTCGAGATGCGCAGGGAATATACGCTGGCATACCACGAGCGCCTCAAGAAAGTTACTGAAAACGATGGGGTCACGTCGAGATGCACAACTGAGCTGAACGTGAATGGATTTGTCTGAAAATTAGATGAATATAATCCTCAACATGTGCACCTACATTGTGTGAAAATATCTTCCAATTTAATTAACACTGAAGGAAGTTATTCAAGCCTCAAATCAGGTGTTTTACGTGAGCCACCCTGTGCATTTACCAGTTCTCCTTTTTATAGAAGATTAAAAATTTCAACTAATGATCAAATAATCAAAAGTATAAAAAAAGTATAAAAAAAAACATTTAAAGATCAACTAGCAATAAGTAAGACAACCATGTTAAGGTGCACTTTTGTTACAGGTTAACTACGGACACAGATGATGAAGCGTTGGGCAGAAGACACAGGCGGAGCATACACTGAAAATGATCCCGCTTCATAATGAAACAAAATTCCTAGACCTTCATTGGAAAAAAGACAAGGCTCCAAATGTGAAAATATACACGGCTGAAAAAGATCCGTGCCTATATACATACATGGGACCGAACATGGCAGAGAAAAATGAATGCTGGGGAGTCGGGGACCGTTATGTCATGTATTACCATGTGGAATGCCAATGTTAATAGATCGGATCTGCACCATATGAATGTTTTAACAAGATACCACCAGAAACCATTGTTACCATTGACCATTGGTAACCCATAGACCATCAGAAAACATGTCTAATGGTTTCTTATGGCCTAATGGTTTCTTATGGTCTAATGGTTTCTTATGGTATGGTGATCATACCATAAGAAACCATTAGACCATAAGAAACCATTAGGCCATAAGAAACCATTAGACCATTAGACCACTAGCCCATTAGACCATCAGACCATTAGACCATCAGACCATTAGGCCATAAGAAACCATTAGACCATTAGCCCATCTGACCATCAGACCATTAGACCACTACAAACCATTAGACCATTAGGGTTTCAATTTCCATATAGACCATTAGACCATTAGACCATTGCTAATGGTTTTTTCTCTAGGGAACAGACAGAAACTACGTTACCACAAATAGTAAGTTAGATACGCGCACTATAAAAAAAAACTTTCTGACCCTGTTGCAAACGACATTTGATATGTAAGCGCCTTCAAAACCACATCAGAGGCCTGTTTCACTAACAAATAAAACTAGTAATTACAAAGAAAAAGCTTGAGATTACAAGAAATAATTACCAACATTTGAGATTTGGATTTCACAAAACCTTTGAACATGAATTTTGAGTTTAAAATTTGCAAACTTTTTTACAAGAAAAAGTTTGCTAGAAAACATGGGAATCGCAAACTTTCTGTTTCACGAAGACCAGAAACTTGAAAGAAAACATCGTAATTACAAACCTGAAATTCCAGTGGTCCTGACGTTCGGAATTTTGATACTTTTTGTGCAATAATGCAAAACAGTCATATATTTAGAACAACTATGCTTTGTTGAGTCGTTTCATGCTCAATTTTTACTTAGCACACACCCTAAGAAGCAAAATGATCGGTACTAAAATATCGTCATGTTTTGTCATTCGCGCGCCATAATTGCATTCAACAGTCTTCTGCTGTCAAATGTTTTGCGTGTTATTTTCTTTCAATAATAGGACAACGTTAACTATTATTTATATCTTTTTCCAACAGCATCATTATTTATAATTTAATTAGGCAGCTTTTGACATGAATACTAGACTTTATTTGATACAAAGAAACAATATTTTTAACATGCTATAGTTCTTGATTAAAAACAATTTTACCGTTTACAAGTTTATTTGCAAACATTTTTTTTCGGAGGTGCCACTGGCGATGAAGCTTAGTGAAATCGGTTTTTACGTAGTTGGTAAAAATACTTATGAATTGTAAACTACAAACACTTGTAAATACAAGTTTTTAGTGAAACAGGCCTCAGACCAGAATGGCGATTCGACCTTATGTTCGCCCGTTTCTAATTTGTTTTGTGATTTGAAACGAGAAAACATGTTTATTGATGTTTGCTACGACTCACGAAGATTATAGTGTGTGTCCAAATCACCCCAACTTCTAGTTCATAAAATGTTATTTGAATCGTGGAAACACGTTACAAGATGTTTGTCACGTGCCTTCTGGTATGTGTCCAAATCACGCCAACTTCGAGGTCATAAAAGGTCAAGGTCATAGCTATTCGCATTGATTGTAGTTAACTTGATCAAAATTTGAAAGAACATACATAAATGTCAAGCAAAACAGGTTATTGATAGATAAAATGTTATCTTTTTTCTGAAATGTATTCCTAAGAAGTGTAAACCTTCTTACCGAAAGCGAGGTTATGTAGCGATAATTCCAAGCTATAATTCCAAGCATGAAACAACCATTGAATTGCTAGTGGCAGCCAAAGTCATTGCGTATGCTTTATGCTATATCAACATCCATCCATCCTTTCCATTTTTCCTGAATCACACCCCGAACACCGACGAATCGGTGATCTGTTATACGGCGCCTGGCATGCGAAAGCATGCTATATCGTTATCGGGCATGATGTCACACGTTTATCAGTGAATCAATCGCCAGATGTAATAGCTCTGGGCTAACAATAAGTGTGAAGTAGCAATAAACCTCGGTAAACATCGATAGCGATATGGTCTCATGGGGCTGGATAGTAAGCTTGCTCGATCTACTTTTTTGTGTGCGTATTTGCCCCCTGCAGAGGGCTTGGGATACCTCGCTTTTTTGCTCCTTATATGTTCTCGGAAACACTGGCGTAGTTGTAAAGCAGGGCTTTAGATGATGCGAGACACAGATAAGTTTTTAACCAGCCATCAAGGCTTTAGGTCAACTGGTTACCGCATAATTTAGGTAAAACACCCAAATGATGGGTTTGGTCTATGGGTGTGTAACACAGATTGTCGTTTTTTTTCGTTTTTGCTACAACGGCGTGGAATGTCCAGCAGCGTCGATTGCTTGGCCGGTATGCGTTTCGTTTAGAATCGGTCCAGTGTTGCCCTATCTAGGTCAGTTCAAATACAGTACCTAACTATAGTCACAGACTCACAACCTATCGTCGGAATGGCAAAATAGTTTGTGCTGCATATGCAATGCGATTCAGCAGTTCATTCGGCGCTCATTGGTGTTTTCCCGGTTCGCTTGCGCTTATATTTCGATTGTATTTTGCCCACAGCTGAATTGGACACGACCAGAGTAGCAAGATGAGGGTCGCCACCGTCGCCCTCGTCTGCCTGACGGCTGCAGGTTGGTTTTTGGTCTACTTTATTTCATTATTAGAACGATGAAGAATAACCTGTTGCTCATTTCTATCAGAAATAGAAAAATAAAACAATATATATTCGGGCGCGGCCCTTCCTCAGTAACACCCATCGTTCTAATAATCATCGTTCATCGTTTCGTTTCGTCGTTAATCATCGCTCATCAACCATGCCCAACGCAACGTTCAAATACCTGAAATCATACTTTATTTCAACATTATATCAGTGGTATGATAGAACGTAAGTGTCAACTGAGGGTTAACTGATCCGTCCATTACTCCAGCTTGTAAATGTGGCGTGCATGTGTTCAACCCCTTGTGATACTTCATACTTGGGCTGAATGGCGGGACAACAGCGAACAGAAAACACATCACAGTTCACGCATACACAAGCAAGCGACTTTTTAGTCTATCAGTGACCGGGCAAATGTATGGAGAGTCTGAATCACCGTGTTTACAAGGCAGGAAGTTGAAATGACGTGATGCTGACGTCATCACTCCGCCCTTGAGTGCCCGGTTTAACAGCAGCAGCGCTGCAAAAAGTGAGAACTGAGTGACGTCAGCGCGAGACATTCTGATGATGTGCTGCCTGCCATATAGGTCCATATTCGCTCGAAATAACGGTTATAGTTAAGTTATTCGGCATTGTCTTCGGCGAAGTGTTGTCGATTGACACAGAACCTAGCAATAGTAAATGGTGCATGTATCTAATGCGCTCACCGCCCTGCTGCAATATAATTTGTTTGTCGTAAGACATCATGGAATCGACTACACTACCGTTCTTCTGATAACGACATCAGATGATAAACAATACATCTTGAATAGATGAGGTAGCACGAGCCACGAGTCAAGCCAATCTCCTTCGACTTCTGGTTATCTCCTCTATTCGATTTTCACTGGAGACGAACGTTCTTTGTTTGCGTTAACGGAGAAAGCAAATAACCGACCTCTAGGAGCTTTCAGAAGAATAACAAATAGGTGTCCAACGTCAACATCTCCGCTCACACAATGATATCATATTCAGTACAATATGGTCTTGAAGTTCCGTGGAAAGAAGTAAGAACGATGCCGGACCTCGTATTTATATAGCTTCGAGGAGCGCATTATATCGTCGGTTCCTATCAAATAGCCTACGACTGTGACCGTGACGATCAGGCAATCTCAGCCTAATGCCTATGTAGTAACTTAGTTTAACTTTATATCACCGGTAGCCCGTAAAAGTGAATCTCCTGTTGGTCTGTGAGTTGTGACCATCTTTTCCAACCGTGACCTCTATGACCTGTCGCCAGCCGTGTGCACCGGGTCTCGCTCCCCGATCTCCGACCGCGAGATTCTGGAGCTGAGCGCACAGCTGTTTGATTCCGACACCAACAATGTGTACGACCACCTGGATGTGAACACCGGCGGCCGCGTGCCCTACGGAAAGTCCACCGACTACGCCCAGGCACCGTGAGTACGACAGCCAGCGACGCTGCCGGGTCTGTAGTGACTGATTGGATAGTAAATAAATTGGGGTCTGAGGTAAAGAAAAAATGCTCAGTCCTCGGTCACGGCTTGTAATTGAGTATTTGTGTGCTGTCTGGCATGGTGAAGGCATAAATTGTCTCCCAGTCCCTACTTCCATTGCATTGCAAATGTTTCGTCTCTTGCAGCCTGCTGGAGCCCTTCAACGCCACCCGCTACCTAAGCGCCCCCACCTACACGGCCCTGGTCAACTTCTACAACAACTATGAGCGTGACGTCAACACCAACGAGCGGCACACACCCGAAGAGCACAACGAACAGGTCCACTTCATCAACAAGATCACAGAGACGCCCGCCATCAACAAGGTCAAGCAGTTCCTCTCCAGAAAAGGTAAGAAAACATTTTTTGTAAGATACCTTTGCATGACTATTGACTATGCGCATATAGAGGCATGCACAAATTTTACATAGTTGCACGTAGGTATATTTATGCTGCGTATCGTAAATCTTTCAAGGTCGGCAAAGTTAGCAGAAAGAAGCTGAGACATGACATCACTCTGCGCTAAGTGCAGCTACATTTATTAAATGATGGGCGATGTCCTTATCCACCCAACGAGCTGACGTTCTAGCGGTGCAGCCGCGGATCTGGGCCGGCTGGGCGGCCTCTGGCCAGTGTTTGGTTTAGCCCCGCGCCTTGTGAGGGTCGTTGTGTAAACATGTTCTGTGCGATGACGAGCGTCCACGCCCGTCAGCTACTCAGACAAAGACGCTGAAACAAGCACGCTTGTTAACGAGTTATGATTAACAGCCTGAGCCATAACTTGTGCTGAAACCCCTGAACTCCTTGTGTTTTTAGTAAATAAAGCCTTTCTGTATTCAACTTTTTTTCAAACTTGCCCCGTACGGTGACGTTTGTCGAAATCCTTTGCCACGGACATGACATACTCAAAGAGATTTAAGCACGTCGAAGCAGTTATCCGGGATATTAGTTTACAGCCACACATCTCTGAGACTGCTCGTCCTTTGCCCATAGGTTACGTGCCAAGCAGCGTGAACTCCTTCAAGCGGACGATGAAGGCGCTCTGGTTCGACTTCTACGGCCGTCGCCGTGGCAAGCTGACTTCATCCGGGTTTGAGCACGTGCTTCTCGGGGAGGTGAAAAATAGGTGAGCACGTGCTGCTACATGAGAACTAAGATTCGTTCCGGAGTATTAGCTCGGCCGGACCCAAGATACCTATAAGAAACAGGTAGATCCGATGTTTGAAAGTAAAGCCCCAGTCACAAATTTGACGCACCTGTGACATTTCCTGACACCCACGTGACTAGGGGAAGCGGGGGTAACACCGCCCCCCTAAGCTTTTCGCCAAAATGAGAGAATATGTGTGAAGTCTCTTGGTAGTTATTGTTTTGGTTACAATATTTAAACATTTTCTCACGTGTTTTAGGTACTTATTTTGCATGCTCCTAAAAGGTTTTCATGTATCACGACTTTTAAAAATACCTTGCACATTTGCTGCCTACAAATTGTGTGGGTAACCCCGCCACCGGTGCTGATGTTAACCCAACCATAGACCACTATATATCTGGACTGTGCACGGATTTTGCCGACTGCTATTAGGGCCCTGCTGGGAAATTCGACGTAGCACGCGGAATTGTGTATTGACGCTCTAGTAAGCCCATTTAAATGAAAGTAACTTCTTAAATGTGATGTATATTTTAATAAATGTATAATTTATAGCATGATTTTTAACACGATAAATAAATAAAAGCACTTATAGACAGGTATATCACACTGTATTAAGTTCAAAGCATCAATAGACAGGAACAATCCGTGATCGGTCGTTTTTGACAAGAGACAGTCTGACGACATATTGGACACACTGCAGATTAATTTGCCTGTCTAAATCAGACACGCACCCGGCTCAATGCTTTGAAAGCCCACACGATCTGCGCCACGGAATTACGAAGATTCCTATGGGTAAATAACAAAGCTGCCGGTGCTGCGTTTTTAGCGAGACCGTCCGAGGTGACCTGCTGGGCCACAACTGTTCCCTGCTTCCACTGAGGCCGATTTCATGCTCAAGTCAGCATAGGGACAGACGGGTTCTGTCATCTGTCCCTCTCGAGAGAAGGGAACTTTTGAACACCGTTGTCATTGACGGTGGCCGCATTTTGCAGCGGGTGATGGCGATCGAGATTCGAGATTTAGACGGAGTCACGAGATCTCGGTTCACTGGACACTGCAGCAGAGCTTCGCACTTAGGAATGCACTTTCTTATAGTTCTTGTGCTACATTTGCCTTTAGTTACTATTCGAATTGTAAATCCACATCTGAAATTCTCAGCCATGTAGGTATCTTACACATCGACGAATAGGATCGTAGTTATTGATTGCATAGACAAACTGATCCCAGGAATGTTGCATTGTGTTTACGTCCTGCGGCTCAACCTTTCTCATTTTCATGAAGCTTTCTTATTTCATGAAGCTCTGTTCGCGCATCGCTGGTGTTGAGTGACGGTATACTGTCCATATTGACTCCATGAATTGCAATGTTTGTTTTTCGCTCAACTATACACATCAATGTGTTGAAGGAATGCAGGTCGTAGCGTTGTAACTTGAGGTGCTTCTCGACAGTGTGACTCCCTCAGCGAGCAATGTGAAGAAAGTTATCGTTTTCCTTTACAATGGTAGTCGCGCTGTCTTGAAACACACGTTTGAAGCTATACGTGTGCCGAAGAGAGAGCGACTCGGCAGCTGTTACCAGAGCAGGACCCATTGCTTGCATGCAGGAGCGTAACACAGATTGCTGATGTGGGCACGCCAGCTCTCCGCAAGCCATAACATATGTGACCATCACTTGACCAAATTGCAAGACTTTAGCTAGTTTTGGGCCTCACTTGTGACTGATATTATAGGAGCCGCCAGTCTGGAAACGGATCCGCCACCTCTCCTTACAGTTGTCTTCTGCTCAATTTTTCGGTCTCGGCCAGCGTCACAGCATGTAATAAAACTCACAGGGAGCCCAGTGGTCAGAATTCCAAGACATTTTCAGCTTTAGGGCATATAGAAATTGACTTCATATTGACGCCTTAGACAGGAACCGGAAAACTGACATTGTTGCATGCACTGTCTTGGCTCTTTGAATATGCTCACTCCCTGTTCTGTTCATAGGATATTCAGAAGTGATTATCACTAGCGGCACATTTTACTGTATTTCAGTGGCATGTATGCATTAAAAGGTTTCATTTTATTTAAAGACAAAAGAGAACTATCCCGCATGTCAATGATAAACAACAAACAACAATAATCTTGCAAAAATCTTCGCTACATGTCTGTGAAAATTTGCTAATTCTCGTGAAAATTAGCTGGGAACCATCATCCACACCATGTTAAATCATGGAAGAAATGGGCAGAAAATGCCCTTCTTTTTTCGATGATTGCGCTAATATTATATATTTTTTGCTCAATGTAAGATATAACTCAGATTACAAATGGACTAGTGGTGATGTTTCCCAAAGCACATCATCATATGGCGAATAAGTTGGCTGTGACGACCTTCGAAAGTTAGGGCCCTAATGGCAGGGCCCTAATTTCCGTGCACAGTCCAGATATATAGTGGTCTATGACCCAACCCATTCCTACGAAAGCTTTTAATTGTTCAGAGATCGTGTGCGATGAGTTTCCTGTCGGTAAGTGGTAATTTTCGCAAATAATCGGTAATGGACACCTAAATAGGTATAGGTTCATCAGCTGTTTGCCAGTTTTATACAGCTGGCAAGTGCTTGGTCGGGATGCATGAAAAATATAAAGTAAAAAATCAAATAAGCTGCTTATTCCCGACTTAGGAACATCTACGAACATAAATAAAGCGTGTCTTTGGAGTTTCATCACTTATCACGCTACAAACAGGAAACACCGCAACCTCAATTGGGGTAACACCGCCACGGGGTGGCGGTGTTCCCCAATAAGTGATCACAAGCAAAAATCGCCAGCGGTAAGAATGTACTACACGGTTCAAGCAAACTTATCTCACTGGACAAAGCCGATCAGTTATTTTTCGATGTAATCAAGTAAATCAAAATGAGTCTCTACTTAAAGGTATTATCAGGGTTTTTTCCAAAATTTCGGACTTACTCAGTGAAACGTGTAGAAGAAGGTGACTGAAGCCCCAATCCAAAGTCATTCGTCTCAAAATTGCCTAATTTTCCAATGGTGGGCCTCCAAAGTTTTCGCGGCTGCCAGCCGCGTAAACTTGCGAGTACTTGGTGGTCCATCTCTAAACGCCCATAGGGTTTACACTAGCGGAGACTTTTCTAAATATTTCTAGGGAAAATATAATGGATCTAGGGAAAATATAATGGATCTAGGGAAAATATAATGGATTACATGCTCCATTATATTTTCCCAAGACAAAATAGGGAAATATAGCATAGGTCCGTAACACAACGAACACAACCTTCTCATTCTTCTCAGCTTCTCATTCTAGATATCCTGTGGGTTATCAAAATAATTCAAATTGAAAAATTGTGTTGTGTGCGTTCAAACTAAGCTCATCCCGAGTGTAATTCAAGAATGTCTTAGTTCAAGTAATTAAACTTGAAAGTGATATAGCTCAAGCAATGAAGAAGCTTGGATGGAACTAGTGTTGAATCAAAGTTACCTATCATTTTTAATGCTAAGTGCTGAACGTTACCAATAATTCGAGACATCCGTTGTAAGATGTATGACGCAGATCAACTTTGATCAAGTGAAGAAAATAGATTTCAGATGAAATAATGTCAATGCTCAAGGCTGAGCGACTGGCAGATTTCGGAGTGAGCACGAGTGGCCTTGAGACATTCTGTTTCTGTAGGTACTCAAAATAAATAAATTATCATGTTGTGTGCTTTGAGGTTAAGTGTTATCAGTGGTGCTTCATGGTTGTGCTTTGTTGTTGGTGTATAGGCATGTTTTGAGCACATTGCAGCATGATATTGGTGGTGTGTAAAGCAACTGATCTCCGCAGACTTTGCACTTACTTGCAAAGCCTGCGGACTGACTTTGCAGACCTTGGCTGACAATGAGCAATGCATTGCTGACTGATATCATTTATTCTGTGTTTGTAGCACAAAGTACAGAAGTGGCACATACATTGTTACTTTGAAAACCTGATGTGAATTTTGATGTAGAAAATTGGTGGCTGACGTTGAGTCCTGACGTATTGTGAGTAGTGTACATCTGGTGCATTGAGCGCAGACTTGAGACCAGTGACGTTTGTATCAGTAGACTGTGTTTGAGTCTACTTATATGGGTAGTCATAAAGCAGGCGTCACACTTCTTTTTGCAACCAAGGAGATGCGCTATACCCAGAGATGCTTTCTCACCAAACCTTACCAAACCAAACCTAACCTACAGCGCCTCTCTTCGTTCGTTCATGGTTGCAAAAAAAAAACAAGTGTGACGCCTGCTATACTACTACCCTTATATGGCCTTGGTTTGAGTGTGGTGACTGAGTAAGCTGGTGTGTATAGCCATGCAATAAGTGTTTTGAAATATATTTTTGGGACAGTATAGAAATGGTGTGTTTTGGCCATCTGGCATGGATGATGGAAAGTCACTAACTCAACTTCAGGAACGCTTCTTCATTATGCTCATCTAAAGCTCAATGATCTATTTTCTCTTCGCAAGGATTGATTCCTAATTCACTGTCAATTATAACCTGGGCCAGAAGGTTTCGCTGAGCCACAGGGTTCATACAGATTCATCCACAGTGCTCAGCAGTGTATATTTTCAGATTTCAACAGACTGTATTTTTTTCTGTATGTACATATGCATCATGCAAGGGTACAACAGATGCGGTATTTGGTAAGCAGTTGGCAGCAAGGTGGTGTTTGTACTTATTGGCAGAACTAGTTGAGCAGGACTAAAACTATCCTAGTTTCTCTCCAGTTTACTCAGATCCGTCTCAACACATTGAACATATTGAAAGCGTTCATCCATGAAATGTCTGCATGTATACTCATTTCCGAGAAGGCACGCTCGTCGCTCATCCATTGCCGAGCAGGCACGTGCGTGCCCATCGCCGGCGCGCATTAGCGCGCGTCCATGGCTGGGGCGCACGCGCGCGGCCATAGCCGGCATGCACGCGCGCGCGCCCATGGCCGGCATGCACGCGCGCGCGCCCAT